TTGGAGTAAAGCAGCAACGTTCGCAAGTTGAACGTCGATACAGAAAAGTAAGCACAAAGCAAACAAGTAAAGAAAAAAATGAGAGAAAAAAAAGAAAACAGAAAAAACTAATTTAAATGCAATTCAAATACGTTTCGGCAATTATTTAACAAATGATATAAGGCTTATAACAATATTTCACGCAATTAATGATTAGAAGCGGGAAAAAGTGATAAAAAATGAGAGATACCAAAATGCAATTAGCATGAGTATTAGATAATAAATGCAGCCTGCAAGGCTGACCCAATCACAAAGCACACAAAACAAAACAGCATTAAAAACAAAGCAATACCCAAAGTGCGCACAAAATAATTGAATATGAACTATTTCATTTTGTGAAATGGAAAAATATTTGCCCAGTCAGCTGACCTCACACCCGTGCAACGACGGCCCCCGGGTCTTGTGATCGAAGCGGTTTCCAATTGGAGTTACGCCGCAGTCGCAGCGTAGCTTCACTTTTCCTAAAGAACGAAGGCAACTCCCATAAAATGAAATAGAAGCAGACGGCAAAAATTCAATATGGTGGCTCGACTGTAGCGCACTTGTAGAGCTCAGTCTGCATTTTTCCAGTAGTGCTGTCAGCTGACAGCATGACAGTAGTCTTGTGATCAACGTCAAAAGGCAATTGTCAAAAATTCGAACTCGAATGCGAGAGCCGAAGTTGTGAGCGCTCTCTCTTGCGCTCGCTCTCTCTCTCTCTCCCTCCTTCCCTCTCAATGGAACTCTAACTCTAATTGGTAGATAACACATCTGCCCGCATAGTTTTTTCTTTTCGTAAATCGAAAACGTAGCTGAGAAATACAGCCACAGCTGTATTTATTTTTCGGTTTAATTTTTAATTGGTTTGTCGTCTCAGCAGTTACTCGTGCTCTTCGAAAGTTACAAAGTTATCAATATCGTGGAAGTCGTTTTTCGAACTGCTGCGAAGCTTTGTCACGTGAAATAAAAGCTCTGCAAACTTTTATTCATTAGGAATTTTTTCATTACTAAAAAGTAGCGCTTAAAAGATCTTAAAAAAAAACAATATATTACTTGATAAAAATCCCATAAAAATATGTAAGTGAGATAAATATCAATATCTAGATAATTTTTTTGAGCTAGAATTACAATTTTTTTGGTAGTACGCCTCACATGCGCTCTTTATGTCAGCTGACAGCGATAAGAAAAATTTTTAACACTTATCTTGTATCGTGAGCGAAAAATAATAGTAGTTTTTCATATTTTTAATTTCTCTTGCTTATGCAGTTGTAGAGTCGAAAATAAACCAAAATGTCCAACTTGAAGCGTTTCGATGACGAGGAGCAAGAGTCCAAATATGGACGTGTCTTCGCTGTCTCTGGACCTGGTAAGCATTTCAAAGAAAAATCAAAAAAAAGATAATCATAATATTAAATCAATTTTAAAATGTGCCCTTCAGTCGTCACGGCGGAGTGCATGTCGGGCTCTGCTATGTACGAGCTGGTGCGTGTAGGCTACTATGAGCTGGTGGGAGAGATCATTCGTCTGGAGGGTGACATGGCCACCATTCAGGTGTACGAAGAAACTTCCGGCGTCACAGTCGGTGATCCCGTGCTCCGCACTGGCAAGCCCCTTTCCGTTGAATTGGGTCCCGGTATTATGGGCAGCATCTTTGACGGTATTCAACGTCCATTGAAGGACATTAACGAGCTCACCGAATCCATCTATATACCCAAGGGTGTCAACGTGCCTAGCTTGTCCCGCGTGGCCAGCTGGGAATTCAACCCCTTGAATGTGAAGGTCGGCTCTCACATCACCGGAGGTGATCTTTATGGTCTGGTCCATGAGAACACACTGGTCAAGCATAAGATGATTGTCAACCCACGTGCCAAGGGTACCGTGCGCTACATTGCCCCATCCGGAAACTACAAAGTCGATGATGTTGTATTGGAGACCGAATTCGATGGTGAGATCACGAAGCACACTATGTTGCAAGTGTGGCCCGTGCGTCAGCCCCGTCCCGTCACCGAGAAGCTGCCCGCCAACCATCCCCTGTTGACCGGCCAGCGTGTGCTCGACTCGCTCTTCCCCTGCGTCCAAGGCGGCACCACAGCCATTCCCGGTGCTTTCGGTTGCGGCAAGACTGTGATCTCACAGGTAAGGAAAGAGATTAGCTAGCTTATGGATCATAGCTCACTTTTATAAATTTCACAGGCCCTGTCCAAGTACTCCAACTCCGATGTCATTATCTACGTCGGTTGCGGTGAGCGTGGTAACGAGATGTCTGAAGTATTGCGTGATTTCCCCGAGCTGTCTGTTGAAATCGACGGCGTCACTGAGTCCATCATGAAGCGTACCGCCCTTGTGGCCAACACCTCCAACATGCCTGTCGCTGCTCGTGAAGCTTCCATCTATACTGGTATCACTCTATCTGAATACTTCCGTGATATGGGTTACAATGTGTCCATGATGGCTGATTCCACCTCCCGTTGGGCTGAGGCTCTGCGTGAGATCTCTGGTCGTCTGGCTGAGATGCCTGCCGATTCCGGCTATCCCGCCTATCTGGGTGCCCGTCTCGCCTCCTTCTACGAGCGTGCCGGTCGTGTCAAGTGTTTGGGTAATCCCGAGCGTGAGGGCTCCGTGTCTATTGTAGGCGCTGTCTCGCCACCTGGTGGTGATTTCTCCGATCCCGTTACTTCCGCCACTTTGGGTATTGTCCAGGTGTTCTGGGGTCTCGACAAGAAGCTGGCCCAGCGCAAACATTTCCCCTCCATCAACTGGCTCATTTCGTACTCGAAGTACATGCGTGCCCTGGATGACTTCTATGATAAGAACTTCCCCGAGTTCGTGCCACTGCGTACCAAGGTCAAGGAGATTCTGCAGGAGGAAGAGGATCTCTCTGAAATCGTGCAACTGGTCGGCAAGGCGTCTCTGGCCGAGACCGACAAGATCACCCTGGAAGTGGCCAAGCTGCTGAAGGACGATTTCTTGCAACAGAACTCCTACTCGTCATACGATCGTTTCTGCCCCTTCTACAAGACCGTCGGCATGCTAAAGAACATCATCGACTTCTACGATATGGCTCGTCACTCCGTGGAGTCGACAGCTCAGTCTGAGAACAAGATCACCTGGAACGTTATACGCGAGGCAATGGGCAACATTATGTACCAGTTGTCGTCAATGAAATTCAAGGTGAGTCCAATTAGCACGCGATATTTTAGACCCGAAATGTATATACTAATCAATGTTTTGCTTTGTAGGATCCCGTCAAGGATGGTGAGGCCAAGATCAAGGCTGACTTCGAGCAGCTGCATGAGGATTTGCAGCAGGCCTTCAGGAATCTGGAGGATTAAAGCACGTTGTCCGTACTTTACAAATCTAATCTAATATTGTTATGTAGTTAACTTTTAAAAAAACAATTTGCGTACAGTCCGTACCGAAGTACCGTCAAAAACAACTATTCCGTGCAACAACAAAAGATTCCAAGCGTCCAAAAAACTATTGTTAACATTCCTTTTTGTTAAAAGAAAAAAAAGAACAAAACAAAACAAAACAAATATAGCCAGCGAGATGAAAACATTCCGGCCTGCGGTTGCTTCTTCTTACCCCGCCTCTCGGCCTTCAACAACAACAACAACCACAGCAGCAACAACTAACTAACGTCCTTCTATGTACTTCCATTACCAATACATATAAACACACATACACACGCCAACAAGTCCATACACACACACACACACGCACACATACACACACGCAGATACAAATGCATGCATAGTATTATTGTTTAATGAATGGAAATTCTTTTGTTTATTTGTGAAAAAGTCATGTTTTCTCTTTGTTTGTTTGTTAAACTTATGTAAATATTAAAAGTATGAAATATTAAATGTACGAATAAAGTGCAAACAACAAATACATTTAATGTAATTGAAAGCAGACCTATCTCTCTCACTCTGTCACGCGCTCTCTCTCTCTCTCTCTCTCTCTCTCACTGTCTGGCTGTCGCTTTCAGATTGCATAACGATGTTGACCAAAGTAACTGTGTGTAGCTTTCAGTGGATATGTTGAATATTGACTAACTACGGCTTAAGTTAAGCAGCATAGTATACTCTATAAATATATCAATACGCGGGGTATACTGATATTTTACAGTTTGATAAATACCGGAATATATATTGATGTACTAGACTATCAATCGACTCTAGGCAGATAGACGAACATATAGATGACGCATAACCACTTTGTGAGTTGGGCAACTATAAGTAATTGTTACACATATATTAAATATTTTTAATAATATTTATTAACAAGAAACCCAGCAAAAATATTTCAAAATAGAAATATTTATTTTTATTTTAATGTGTGAACTTCGCTTAAAACTGTAAAGGAAATTTTACATTTCATTACAAATAAATACCTTTACCGTTATTTTCATTCATATCTTGGAGTGAGCTCTGCTACGAGCTATATATCTTATATACAAATAATAGCAATAACATAATTAACCCATTTATATTGTATTTTGAAGTCATAGTTTAATTCTTGAGAACTGCATAGAGAGGCAATATTTAAAAGCGCAAATTATCTTATGACTTTACCGCAGCAGCTACTATAGAGAAGAGCTAAACTGAGAGCACTTGCCCCAAGCTAAGCAGAAAGTTGCAATTGAATTTTGGTTATACTCATGAATGAAAATTTAACGCCCTCTTGTGGGCATGACATATCGAAAATATGCTTTAATTTTTTATAGTTTAACAGTTCAAATACAACAAAGTTACAGTTAACCTGCTCCATTGACTAACCAAAAATGATATATTTAAATATATATGTCACTTGAGGGCATGGCAAGCCGAAAATAGCTTATTTTCCGAGGTTTTTGAGCTATCAGCGCTTAGGCCCTGCCAGAGTATTATGCAGTCGGTAGCGCCCGACTGTGACATTCTTATTTGTTATTTTGCTCACTTTAACCAAGCAGTCAAACATTTTTGTTAAATTCAATTTAAAAAGCGTTCAACATTTCGTTTTCCCATACTCAAAAACATGCAAAAATAGCTAAAAACTTCTTGCAGTTTACGTTATTTTCATAAAATTTCTTGTTTTAATTCGTTTGATTTAATAAATTTCGCAATAGTCTGCTATCTAAAATGGATCTCCGAAAATGTCGCTGTCGTAAGATATTCCCGATTGTTAGGACACTAGAGGAGGGCACAAATACCTCGTTCATCAGCGATATGGTTCCACCGTCGCTGATAGAAATTCAGCAAGAGCCATCCGAACAGAAATCTGAAATACCTAATATTATACATGAGAAAAAGGATCCGAGACCTTCGCTTAAAGTACCTGATGAAGATACCGTACAAAAGGGATGCGTATTCGGGGTGTCCGGTCCGGTGGTCAATGCCGAGAAGATGTCCGGCTCGGCCATGTACGAGCTGGTGCGAGTGGGCCACTACCGACTGGTGGGCGAGATCATACGCTTGGAGGGCGATATGGCCACCATACAGGTGTACGAGGATACCTCGGGCGTCAGTGTCGGCGATCCCGTGTATCAGACCGGCAAGCCGCTATCTGTCGAGCTGGGCCCTGGCATAATGGGCTCCATTTTCGATGGCATTCAGCGACCATTGCGCGACATCAGTGAGCACATGAAGTCCATTTATGTGCCGAAAGGTGTCGATGTCTACAGCCTCTCGCGCTCCTTTGAATACGAGTTCATTCCGGAGAAGAGTATAAATGTGGGCGACCTCATCAGCAGCGGCGACATCTACGGCACCGTCCAGGAGAACAGCATGGTGGAGCATCGTCTAATGCTATCTCCGCGCTTTCTGGGCAAAGTCAACTATATCGCTCCCGCTGGCAACTACAGCTTAGAGGACACGGTCATCGAGACGGAGTACGATGGCAAGGTAACCCAGCACACGATGCTCCAGGTCTGGCCAGTGCGTGAAAATCGCCCGGTCATCGAAAAACTACCTGGCAATCATCCGCTGCTAACTGGGCAACGTGTGCTCGATGCCTTCTTCCCCTGCGTTCAAGGCGGCACCACAGCCATTCCCGGTGCCTTTGGCTGTGGCAAGACTGTGATCTCACAGGTAAGAGATTGACTGGCTCTTGGATCATAGTTGACTTTTATACATTTCACAGGCCCTGTCCAAGTACTCCAACTCGGATGTCATCATCTACGTCGGCTGCGGTGAGCGTGGCAATGAAATGTCCGAGGTATTGCGCGACTTTCCCGAGCTCACCGTCGAGGTTAACGGTGTCAAGGAATCTATAATGAAGCGCACAGCTCTGGTGGCCAACACCTCCAACATGCCCGTGGCAGCCCGGGAAGCCTCCATTTACACTGGCATCACTATATCTGAATACTTCCGTGATATGGGTTACAATGTGGCCATGATGGCCGATTCCACCTCCCGTTGGGCTGAGGCTTTGCGTGAGATCTCTGGCCGTCTGGCTGAGATGCCTGCTGATGCGGGCTATCCCGCCTATCTGGGCGCACGTCTCGCCTCCTTCTATGAGCGAGCCGGCCGCGCCTTGTGCCTGGGCAGTCCCGAGCGCGAGGGTTCCGTGTCCATTGTGGGCGCTGTCTCGCCACCTGGTGGTGATTTCTCCGATCCCGTTACCTCATCAACATTGAGCATTGTCCAGGTGTTCTGGGGTCTCGACAAGAAGCTGGCCCAGCGCAAGCATTTCCCCTCCGTCAATTGGCTGCAGTCGTATTCCAAGTATATACGAGCCCTCGACCAGTACTACGAGGATGAGAGTCCGGAGTTTGTGGACTTGCGTGCAACGGCTAAGCAAATACTGCAGGAAGAGGATGACCTGTCCGAAATTGTTCAGCTGGTGGGCAAAACGTCGCTGAACGAGTCGGACAAGATTACGCTGGAGGTGGCCAAAATGCTGAAGGATGACTTTCTGCAGCAGAACTCGTACAGTCCGTACGACTCCTACTGTCCCTTCTACAAGACGGTGGGCATGCTCAAGAACATGATAACCTTCTACAATCAGGCCATACTAGCGGTCTCAAATACATCTAGCCAAGAGATGCATGTCACATGGGGTCTGATACGAGAGCAATGCAACGAGTTGCTCTACGAATTGGGCACCATGAAGTTCATCGATCCCAAGTTGGGCCAGGAATCCGTGGAGGAGCAATTGGAGAAAACCTACAAAAATGTTCTCAAGACTTTGCAAGATTTGGAAGCCAATGTGTCGTCGTATATATAATGTAAGTTCCTAGACTAGAAATAACATAAATTAAGCTAAATAATTATAACAAAAGACTTTACTTCATTTCAGTATATCTTTAAAATATATTAGAAAATATTTTTAGGTACGTCGCCAAACTCCACTTCAGCTAATTTCAGCTTAAACCGCACTTTGGCTTATTGCATCCTGTAATTGTTTTTTTTTTGTTCGATTTCCACTCAACTCTATTACTCTATTTTTTTTGCATAAAAGTCAGCGTCAGACTCAGAATCAGAGTTAATCCTTTTACCCGTTTGCCATGTTCCTGTTTGGCGTTTTTGCTGGAAATGTTCGATAATTTGCGCAGCGGCATCCAAATGTCGACAAAATTCGTTGATTTATACGAAAAGTTTATTAATGCGCTGCAAGAGCGAGCGCTGCCAGCTGCGCCCACTGCACCCACTGCGCCCCGCCAGCGCACAAAAATTGCAAAGAGAGATCGATTTCGATTCAATTAGTGAAAATTAAATGTAAGTATATGTGTGTGTGTGTGCGCGCTCACACACATGCAACTGTGTGTGTGTGTGTGTGTGTGTTTGTACGTTTGACTTTGCCGATAAGCTGCGCCGCGTTGGGCGTAGGGCGGCTAGGCGTGGCAGGCATTGCGATGATTACATTTCCGCATTCGAGGCTCGGCACCGCAGCCAAGTAACCAAGTCAGCCATAAAATGAGCGCAGCAGAGTGCAGAAGAAGAAGAGCGCAAAAAACGTCGAAGCAAGCCAAAAATCAGTTCAATTGCAAATTGAAAATCCCCTTACAACTTCCGTTTCCGCTAGGCGAGCACAGCGAGAGAGAGAGAGAGAGAGCGAGCGAGCGAGCGAGTGAGTGTGTGGGTGTGTGTGTGTGAGATGGGCCGCTCGGCTGCCATGACAAACGTGGCGTATGAGCAATGCTCACTAATTGGCCGCCGTTCGTTGCCACAGTCTGTGGCACACTAGCCCGCCTCCTGCCAGCCAGTCAGCTACTCCTCTTCTTCTGCTCTTCTTCTTCTTCGTTGCCATTTTGAGTTTAAGCTGTACGCTTGAGCTGAACCTTAATGGACGCAGCTGCAGCATAGAGCTGCCCGCGTGCCTCAGTTGCTCTTCAGGCACGAATCACGCACGACTTCAAGCGCTATATGAAACGTCAGTCGAATCGAACGTATTTCAATATTAGTATTAATATTATATATATATATATTATTATTATATTAAATTTAAATTGTCATATCAGATATCAAGCCTTATCGGACGCACGCATTCGGCACGCGCTCAACACCCGCTGGGAAGCCGCGTCGCTTGGCTGCTGTAACGTTATTGCATAATTTGAAGGGGTTAAGCCATTGAGCTTTAATGCAAAATTTCAATTGAACGTCAAACAGTCAATTCTCTTTAGCGCCGATAATCGTAAAAGGATAATGGCGCTAAAAGCGCATAAAAAGGCGCCGAGCCAGCTTCAGACATAGCCGTGCCAAGGACCTGCTGCGCACCCTAGTGCTGCTTGCATCTGTATTTGTATGAGTGTGCATGTGTGTGTGAGCGAGTGTGCGTGTGTTGGACGCTGCTCGGCAGAAGTGTGCACTCAATTAAGGGATTTTTCGGGCGCAGGCTAACGGCCGTTGATGCTAGCTGCTAGATAAACCTAAAGCTGTGCAAACCTCCGACAATTTCCTTACACAAGCACACACAGACACACACACACACACACACACACACATACAACGAATGGTAAAGCAGCAATAAGCAGAAAAAAAATAAAGAAATTTCATCATAATATGAAAAAGTAAACAAACTGAAGCAAAAACAAATTTAATTCTTTGGTCTCGCTGATGTCTGCTGAGTGGATCAACATGATTTAAAGAAATGTAAGTCTACGATTTAGATGTGAAATGTGACTAGATAATTTAAAGAGAGGAGGAAGTGTAGAGAGGAGCGAAGAGAGAAGAGGCAAGAGTAAAGAGTGAACAGAGAAAAGTGAAGAGGAAGAAAGTTAAGAGAGAAGCCAAAAGTAAGAAGACAAAATGGAGATAAGTAAGATAGAAGAGTGGAGTGAGAGGGCAGAGTGAGAAGACTGGAGAGAGAAGAGAAAGGAGAGAAGAGAGAAGTGCGAAGTGAGAAGTGGAAAATTGGGAAGAGGAGTGAGAAGGGAGAAGTAAGAATATAGAAGTGAGAAGAGAGAAGTAAGAATATATAAGTAAGAAGTGGGAAGAGAAGCGAGAAGATAGAAGTGAGAAATGCGAAATGAGAAAAGACAAGAGAGAAGTAAAAAGTGAGAAGTGAGAAGAGAGAAGAGAGAAGAGAGATGCCAGAAGTGAGAAGGGAGAAGCCAGAAGTGAGAAGGGAGAAGTGAGAAGAGAGAAGTAAGAATTTAGAAGTGAGAAGTGGGAAGAGAAGCAAGAAATGAGAAGAGAGAAGTAAAAAGTGAGAAGAGAGAAGAGAGATGCCAGAAGTGAAAAGGGAAAAGTGGGAAGTGGAAGAGAAGTGAGAAGAGAGAAGTAAGAATTTAGAAGTGAGAAGTGGGGAGAGAAGGGAGAAGTGAGAAGTGAGAAGTGAAATGTGAGAAGAGACAAGAAAAAATAGGTGGCAGAAGAGATATGAGAAATCAGAGAAGTGCACAGAGAAATGTAAAGAGTGAAATCTGAAGAGTTAAGAGAGAATAGAGAAAAAAAAACCCACAGACAGAGAAAGAAGATAGCAGGACGAAGAAAGAAGAGAAAGAGTACGCAAAAAACAGTAAAGGAGAGAAGGAAAGAATAAAAAAAGAATAGAGAAACTAAAGAAGAAAAGAGTGAAGAAGTAAGAGTTAACTCCTTAGAGTTCAAATATATATAAATATAGTTTGGCGTACTCTCCTCCACTATCTCTCTGCTTTACTGTAATCCGCCTTTCTATGCGATTCACACAAACTAAAAACTAGCTTAAACCCTTTCATAAATAAGCAAGCAAAGTACTTTACGCTTTTCCTGTGTACACTTAGGCTTTCTCTATATACTCACACACATATGCATATATCCTTACACATATATAGCTGAAATATAGTGAAAATAAAAAATAACTGTTAACATTATTCATAGTTTACGCATGATATAAATGAAATGCTTTTAACTGTATGCCCAAGCAACGATGCGGCTCTTTGGCTTCCGCTTCTGCTTCTGCTTGTTGTTGTTGTTGTTGTTGTTATTGTTATTGTTGTCAAATGGCCAAAAAGAGGATATCATAAGCAGATGGCAAGTCCTTTAACTGGGGTGTTAGCGTCTTTAGCGACTGGGTTTTTGGTGACGGCAACTTAATTTGCAACTTATACGCAAAATCCTTTTGATTCTGTTATTTTTTGAAACAGGCGAGAGTCCTGTGTGCTGCTCTTGCTGTTGCTTTTGTTATGCTTGATGACGATATGTCCTTTTGCGCAGATTTACAACGCCTGCAGTTATTTGCCAAAGTTAAGCGAACCTTTTTGTTTTTTTTTTTGTGCTTTTCTCGTTTTGTTTTGGGCTTTGCTTGGGCTGCTTAGTTCTGCATGCCAAAAGGGTCCTGTCGCTCATTGTCCTTTTTAGCCGCTGCGGCTGTTGTTGTTGTTGTTTGATATGCTTCTGATTAAGGGAATTTAAATTAAGCCTATGCAAATGCGCCGCTGGCTGTTTTTTGGCTGCTGTCCTTTGGTATTGTTGCTGCAGCGCGTGTATCCTATTTCAAGTACTTGCCACACGCACACACACACACACACACCTCCCTTCGCTCGGCCCGCCGCTGTTGCAGTGCCCAAAAACTTGCCACGCCCCTCCATATATGTCATGCAAAAGTTTAACCATAAAAAATTTGCCAACTGGCAGCTCACAGCAGCCGTAGACAATTGGCCTATCGCTCCTTCATTCACTGAAGTTCTCGCTGACAAAGTCCTTGCCACGCAGATAATGAAATTGTTGTGCGAAGCGAAAAAAAAAAAAAAGAAAAAGCCGCAGCAACGTAGCGGAAGAGCGAAAAGTTTCGCTCTGTTCATCAGGCAAGGCAAACATTTTAAATACAAAAGGATATGCGTGGGCAGACGGCAAATCCTCCCGGCACAGCTCGAGCTCGATCCTTGGTCTACGCCAGCCGCAATGACATTGACGAAACGCTTGAAATTTACTGCGTTCCATTTGCGTTTCACCCAGGACCAAGACAGACTCCTGGCCCATGTTTCACTTGGTTTTTTTTTTTAATTCTTAACGTATTTCAAGAGAGTATAAACACTTTGGTATGAACTATGTGACGAAGTGCAGAAGTGAACTCCTAACTCTTATAATATGAGCATTCTTAAGAGATATGTTCATATTGATATCTTATATTAATTGCTGTGATTAGATTCAATATATCGAGAAGCGGTTAAAAGCTATTTTCTTATATAAACAACATTTTTGTTTGTTATGATGTTCATATTGTTCTTCTACTCAGCAGCCTTCATATTTACTCTCTTATATCCTGAATATACTAAAAATGAGAAATCACTGCTTTGCTCAAAATATCTTTGTCAGACTTGCTAATTAAGAGTCTTTCGTTTGGCAAACTACAAAATTATATAAGCACTGAAATACTTTATCTTTGAGTCGATGGCAAGTCAAAGTTAATTTATTTCTTCTACTCCCAACTTTCAACATGTCTCTAATGCAGCATCATATTCCATATAGCTTCTGTATCTTATGGAAAATGCTCGTATAGTCACAAATATTCTTAATATTCTTTTTTCCCCCTATATCATATGGCTACTGTATCATATGGCAGCCTTAACATAGAGCTACAATATCATATGGTTCCTTATCATATGTGATTGCTGTATCTTATACATCTCTAACTACTACTTATATTACGACTTCTACTACTAATATTACTCACAGCTAAAATGTGAGATGACCCTATATTTCTATCTCTATATCTATATCTTCTTTTGCATATTGTTCATATATCATATTTGCCAGCTCTATCTCATAATTCTCTGATAATCGAATACTACTGGTATGACTCTATATCTCCATATTGCTCTTTTACATATTGTTCATATGTCTATCT